CATATATACATATATATACATATATACATATATATATATATATATGCGATGTAGATATCAAACACTAAATAAAAAATCTCCTCTTTATAATATTAAGTCGGTAAATGTAAAATTCTTTTTGTCATGGACTAATACTTTATAGAATTCCAAGGTGTTATTAGCAAGAATGTATATATACTAAAGATGATGCAAAATTATGATGGCACACACGTTGGGATGAAATGCAGCAAGGCTGTTCCGACATCTAACACACTTGGGAAGCCTTAAAAGACTGAATTACAAAATCATTTTATGCCATTGAACATAGAGTTTAACATGTGGTGGAAGTTGACGTGATTTCATTAGACATCTAAAATTTGATATTATATGAACCAGTTTTTTGCACTAATTAGATATCCAAGATATATCTGAGAAAGATTTTTTTTTTTTGCTTCTTAGGTGATCTGAAATCATGGGCTTAATAGATACTATTATTGAGGTAGAATAACTCACATATTTCTCTATAGAGATGACAGGAAAGTTACTCATCAAAGAATGAATTTTCCAAAGCTTCCGAACTCAAAAAATAAAAGTGCATCAACGTAAAGAGGTGCTTAATGCGATTGATCTTTTGTTGTTATCAATAATATGATTTTAATTTTTTATTATTTTATCAGCATTTTATTCTTTTTATGATATTGGTTGATTTATAAGACTAGTTCTATAAATTTTATTATATGAGTTAGTTTAAACTGATTTAAATGAATGAGTTGGTTAAATTAAAGGGAAGATGATATGAAAAGTATCTTGAGGATACTTTTGTTGTATTATAAATGAGGGGTGCTTTATGGAAAATAAAATAAAATATGGATCATTGGAATGGATTCTTGCAAAGATATCTTTTCATGTGAGGACCAAAATTAGAAGGTTTTCAAAATGATTCAATGGAATATAGCTTCATTTGATCCAATTATATCAATTTTGAATGAGATTAAACTTATTTCGAACATGGCCTAAAAAATAGAATAATCTCATTAAAAAAAATTGTAATTAAGCTTCATATATAATATTTTTCACATAACAACTTTCTTAACCTTCATATAAGATATTTTTAAATAAAAATAATCAAAATCAGCATACTTTAAATTTTATATTACCAAAGATCAAGACAGCTGGCCATTTTGTATTATAAAAAAATAAAGACAGTCCAAAATTATTTTTTTTAAAACTAGTATGGAAGAATTCAGTGGATTTTGACCTCATTTGAGCTAGTTATACTATTTCCCAATAGGGTAATATAACAATTTTGATTTATTTCGATTAAAATTATAATAAAAAAGTTCAAATGAGGGCTTAAGTATGAAATTAATAAATATTATAAGATGAAAACCTCTACATAAGGTGCTTATAATGACACTAGGCATAGTTAATAATTATCCATAAATATCATCATTTTTACTAAAATATACAAAAAACTATATTACATTTTAAATTAAATCAATTATATGAATTTTATTTTACTAATTAATTCATCAATATCTTATTATATTTTATGATATTGATACTTTATATTAATACTAGTTTTACCAATTTTTTTATTAATATACATATAATATTACTTAGTGTTATTTAGTATAAATTAATCCATGAGTTGTATTGAACAGACCCAATCGAATAGGTCAGGCCAATTAGAGGAAAGTTAGGATTGAAAAATTAGGGAAGAAAAGAGGGAAAAGGTACTTAGGATACTTTTATCATATTATAAATGAGAGGCCTTCTATTAGGAAAAGATAAAATATGAGTTTTTCTAAATGAATTTATCCGATCAAAATCCTAATTGATTTTCGATTCTATTTTAGATGCCTAAGTAGTGTGTATCGCTTTTGTATAAATGTTCATCGTCTCTCCCCTTGTAATCGCTCAAAGCAATTGAAGAGAGGAATACTCAAACATTTACAGTGGTTGGAGGGAGGTATACCTAGACGCTAAAGGTAGAGCTTCATCATAAGACGATAAGTAAGACTCCTTTTTTTTTAAATATATATTTATGCTGAACTATTCTTCCTCATTCATGTTGATAACAAAATAATAAAATTCATGAAGTTGTTTAGGAAGAGTAAATTTTAAAGACTATTCACTTAGTAGTGATACTATATAAATCCCTATTAAAATCTCTAATTTGTTATTAGACTTTGATATAATAGATGATTGAGGTGAAGAGAGCCGATGACAATCGATCCGAACATTGAGTTATAATGGGGATTTTGATTAGAAGTAACATATTTCATTTATAGATACGATTAAAATTATAGAGAGTTTAGAAACCTATATAACCTCTATCGACATTTCTAATCGATTACGAAAATAGATTCTTAGTTGATCCATAACTTTGCAGGCATAGGTTTTGGATGTAAGGCTTGTCATCTCCTCTATAATATCACCATCTCCCCCTCCTCTCAAGTCATCCTCTAAGATCGACATGGAGAAAAAAATAGAATCAATAAAAATATTAGAGATATTCATGCATGAATTCTTGTCTGAGTTAACATTTACTAATTTGACTAAGACTCATTATTACTGGAATTCTAATAAAAAGGAGACGGGCACATAGTTACTTTTTTTTTTTCTATTAATCTTTGTTAAACAAAATAATGATGTGCTCACTGTATCATTTGTGAATCTCTAATTTGATTGGAATTCTCACTAGGTATTATTGGCAATCTATAATTCCATTAGAATTGTCACCTATGAGTAAAATAAGATGTGGGGTTTTGTGTTATGACTTAGTAATTTGATAGGAGTATGCTAATCGAATCCGGATCTTATTCTTTATCCATTTTTGATGCATGATTAAACTGAAATATTATAAATCTCCCCCCGCTTAAAAGTAACTGCGAGAGTAAATTACATTTTGTTCCACGATCGTAGATTAGCGACGGTAGCCTAATATGACAGCTTGTGATTACTACCATGCACCATTAAGCAATTCCCGTAATGTACTAAATGTCTAAAGATTTCATATGCCCTTTTTTTCCTTTTTCTTCGGTGAAGCTTCGAGTGTTGCAAAGCCAAGCATGTCGTCTGAAGGTAAAGAGGTGATCACCGAGGCAGCGGAGGGATCGTCATCCCAGCCGAAGCCGACGAAGACTGTTGTTACTCTCGTGTCTTCCGACGAAGAGACATTTGAGGTAGACATAGCGGTAGCAAACCAATCGGAGATGATCAAGAATCTGATTCTAGACATGGAAGACGACGTCGATGAGTTCGTAGTCCCCGTGTTAAACGTTACTGGTCTCGTGCTCGCCAAGGTGATACAGTACTGGGAAAAGCATGCCGAGGCGATCGACAGAGACCAACTCGAAGCGTTCGACATGGCGTTCGTGGACATGCACAAGGAACTGTTGTTCCAGGTCCTAATAGCTGTAAATTTTCTCGAGTCGAGGCCGCTGCTGAACCTGTTGTGCAAGACCATCGCTGACGGCATTAAGGATATGTCGGTGGACGAAGTCAGAGCGTACTTCTCAATCGAGAGCGATTTCACCGAGGAGGAGGAGCGGCAGGTTCGAGATGAAAACCAATGGGCCTTCGAAGAACAATAGACTAATGGTTCATTTTACTCCTTTGTGGATGAGCTACTGTTGTTTATTTTATGATAATATAAACAACTCAGAACTCCGGCAATAAATTTATTTGGTGCTATGGATTATTTCAGATTTATTGCATGATGATAATTGGATATTAGATGGCGGACCACTATCGTAATCCTTCGTTTTCAGATTCCTAATCCCATCATAGGGGCATGAGAACACACATTCCATCCTGGATATTAATTCGACTTCGATTACATGTATTGCAGCGGCTAACTCGACTGCTGCATTCGAATCCTCCCTTCATACACCGATGATACATACTTCTGATACAAACTGATGAACAAAATTGGCTGTGCCATTTACGTAAAGCTAAGTGATACACTAGAAATGCTAATGAAACTCGAGCATCATCCATGAATCTAAAAAAATGCTAATGAACCCTCGTTGGATTACGTTCTTCTGCATTGCCTAATCTTCGGTTTGTTGACCTCAATAGATGCTTCTTGCTTGCTATAGAACTACCCCGCAAAGAAAAAACTTACTGTTCTTCCTTGTTTCTCTTTTTTCTTTTGAACTTCAGTCTCTCGACTTGCTTGGGTTTCTGATTGGCATTATTCTTCTTGATCCTCTTATTTGCGATGCTTGCTGTGCGGTTGATCGATTGGTGGTGTCTGCCTTTATCTACGGTCGCAGCAGCCCCATTTATGCTGTAAGCATCACTCTTCTGTTTCTTTCCCCTCCCTCTTATGACACCAGATCTTAGCCCTGAATCCTTCTTCTGTGGTACATCGTCAAGAATCCTTTTCTTCCCTCTGCATATGAATACCATCCATCACAAGAGCACATATAGCTCATATTCCGAGAGGAATAAATCATATGTGCAACATATTACCAACCTTTTTATGACAGGATCTTTTGAATCACATGGCGCATCAGGATTGGCAGGACATTCAGATTTTTTCTTTCTCTGACGGCTCTGGAATTACAAGTGTCATGAGATTATGCACAGAACATCAGGTGTCGTTGTTAAACTTGCATTTTCAACATATCACAGTCTTTTCTATGGCAAAAGCTTATACCATGAACATTGGCAGTTTTTCTCGACAAATATAGAAATCATAACAGCTGTACAATAAGAAAGCATGGCTCTATGCCATGATAGTAAATTACCTTTAGCCAGAGGACAAGAACATTATATCAGAACAAGATTATAATTTGTCAATAGGATATTGAATGGTTGCTCCAATTCAATTTTTACTACAACCAGATGATGGAATTAAGAAAATAATGTAAGTTTTTCCAAGAACAAATCGAAGAAGAGGATATTTGGAACTTGGACGGAAAAAAAAAATATTAATGAAAGATGAACTTTGATGATCATTAAGTATAAAAGCATGGCAAAGGAGATTCGTAGGTAATTTAAACATAAATAGATATGGCTTTAGCAAAGAGTAAGCGGCAGTGAAAAGAAGTTCCAAGGAACAACTACTACTAAAATATCATGCTTTAAAGCGCATAGTATGTTTTTAGTTTCATCCAGACTGATATATATTGGATGGTATCTACCAGTTTGAGGCTTAACCTACACAAGGACCCGGCATTTTGGCTTGGTCTAGTCTAGTCCAGTTTGTAGCCCATGCCTTATTAGATGCTTTCTTATCAGATGCTTCCTTTTAGGTTTTAACACCAGATCTCTCTTGCACATGCCCGATCTTTTTCATGCTTGTCTCTCTTGCTCTATCCACTAATCTCCGTTCCTCCTCTCATTGCTTGTTATTTGCACAATCCGCTGGTCATGGCTTGGTATTCCACCTCTTGTTCCTCTTACTCTGTTCTTAGTATTCTCCTCCAACCTTTTCGGTGTCGATCGGCATCCCGATGTCCCATGTATCAGTATGCTGGTACAAACTAGACACATACTGGTCCAGCCAACAGCCAATATGGGTTCAAGAACCAAAATTTTGAACCATGCTTTAAAAAAATATCAAATTACAAAACGAGAACTTAAAGATTTTTTTGTGTGTGGCAAGCTACAAGGCATGATATTTCCATAGGCTAACTGATACATGAAAAGTAGGAACTTCAATATTTCCATTTTAAAATTCAACAAGTTCGTCATCAAAAGATAAATATGAGAATACTAAACTTCATTCATCTTATTGTCTATAGTGATTCCTAATGATATAATTCAAGTTAGATAGAAACACACTGAAGGTTCAGATTAAAGCCTTGGTAATTTTTAGCAGGAGAAAATGGAAAAAAACTTCAATTGCAATTTCTATTGTTATCAAGGCATATAAAACAAGATACTTTACCTCCACAACGGAATTGACAAAGTCCTTATATTTTTTGGGCACATTGCCGTCAATGGCCTCATAATCACACTTCCTTATAAGAATTTCGAGGATAATTGCAACCTGTGATTATCAAATAGCAGCTCAATCATGCAAACTTCACATATGAAAAGGCAAAGAAATCGAACACTTCTAGGACTACAAAAAAAAACAAAAAAAAACATGCCTTCAATCGGAAATGATGTTTTGAAATTGATGACCATGGCAATATTCCATTCAGAATATCAGGTACTAGAATAATTAGGTTGTTTGAGTGCAACGATGAAACCAACACTTTAACGAAGCCCAGAGCTGCCTAAACAATCCAAACATTATATTATGATGTCAAAAGAACAAACAAAAAAAACCAAGGGAAAAGTGATTAATAAACTTACTTTAATAACTTCGTTAGACTTATTTTGTAGCAAAACTAAGACAGAAGGTATCAGGTTTGGCACAGCCAGACAAAACTCGGCATCGTTGTATATAAGCAATGAAAGGGCAGAAATTGCACCACTCATGATATGAGGAGATGAACTAGAAAGATAGCCCATTACCTGAAAATCAATGACAGAAAAGAAAGAATTAAATTTAGTGAAATAAACATGCCGTATGTAACCAACTCGAAATTATTTTCTCATATCTTACTGTGTCACACCACAACTAGAACCCAAGGACATATCATCTGAATAACTCAAAAGCATATGCCTAGAAGGATGATGTTATTATATATATAACATGTTCCCTGCCATTGTGACCCTGAATCCACATGCATCACAGATATGCTACCTGACATGCTAGTTGTGGACCCAGACACTGGCATGTTACTTGTTGTTATATGGTATGGTTGACCAGCAGCCAACAGCATGGCCAACTGCAGATTAATCATAGCCTAGGGTAAGCATGTATTTCAAAATCCTATGTTCAGTGTTCCTACAGGATGAGACCAATGTAAATTATAGATAATATATCATCATCCTGAAATTCCATGTAAGAGGAAAATCACAATATGCTCCTTCCTATTCATAAGTATGGGAAAATGGTGCACATGTATTCTATCACAATAAGAGAAGATGAAAGGGACAATTTAAAACTAAAGATACATGAGTTGAAGAGATAGGTAAAGACATACTAGTTAAATGTAAAAAAAAGGACAGAAATTTTACAAAGTGAATAAACCAATAAAATAGCTGGGTTTCCCATATGGTATATAAACACTGTCAGCATGATAAGCAAATTCTGAATCTTAAAGCTTCAGCAGGTAAAAACACTATATAAGTTCTTGGGTAGACATGAAAATAATCTACAAGAGCAACATAGAATATGACACTACAGAAAATATATACAATCAAGCTACATGAACTACAAAAGAGTTTCTAAGTTACCATGACAAATAGTCGTTGAACATCTGATTGTGAATTGTCAAATTGGGAATTCTTCAGGCTACAACTTGTTGCCAACAATGTATCATATGCCAATTTTCTGGATTCTTTCTTAGACTGCATAATGCATGTAAAAGCAATACTTGTGAAGTCAGATTCAAAAAACCTATACCAACAGCTTATTTAAAAATGTCATATACCAAATGAAACTCCCTTCGCAATGATGAGTATCACATCATGTGCTGATGGAAGCTGAAAGTTCTGAGCCTAATTTCTTCTAACAGATTTATTTCTAGCTCATTTCTATACATCATATTGATTAATACTACAGATATATTCATTTATTTCTCAAAGGTTGTTTCCAGAAATTTCCATCTCATGCACCATTAAGATTTTGATTCTCAAGCAAGAGTACCAAGGCACATACCAAGCGCAGACAAGTACAAGCAATACAAGTAGATCGTATTACCAAGAGCACACCATCAACCTTACATGATCTATGTACTACCATCGAGAAAGACCAATATGACTTACTGTACACCTTGGTAGACAATTGAGTTATTCATTTGAAAATTGACAATGCATACTAAGAAGATCTAATATGCAACTCATAAGTATATTAGCCTTATTTTTGGTGCAACCTATTCCTTGGCTTCTACAAATTTACTTGTTCTTTTCCTTGAATACTTGCATTTTCTTCCTAGTATCATGCTAGTAGTTCATATATCTACAACAGAACTTTCTACTGTTCCTACTTCCTACACAAACACTATTATAGTCTGAGCTCTAATGCCCAACAATAGTACATAGTTTCCATTATAGCTCTGAACTGTGTAACAATCCAACAGTCTGACCAGACTCCAATGCAAAACTTTCCTTTGCATGTTCACTAAAGCTGCAAGTTGGTGGGTATCATTGGGATGGACAACCAACTCAACCCTTATTCAACACAACACTTGAAGTTCCTCAGTAGAACACTTACAGCCCTGAACAAATCCAACTCTTTTGTGGTCTAATTTTGGGTTAAGTGGGTCAGAAATGAGAAGTGTTAGGACCCGCAAAATCGATTGTTTCACGTTTAAGTATAACTACCTTTAGGATTAGTGGTAACCAAAGTCATCATTTTTTATGATACCAAAGTCGGTCTAGAGTTTAAATCCTAGCCCTGCCCCCCTTTCACCCCAATGTTTGAGCCACTATATAACATGCCCATATATGATATTGTTAAAAGGCTGTTGGTGAAAGGGTTTAAATATAAGTTGGGAACTTTCTATCAAGTTAAATTTTTGGAATGAGCAGTGGACCAATGCATTAGTTCATCAGTCAATTGTTCAAATGGAGTATAGTTAAAATACACGATTAGAAGTTCAAAAATAAAAATAATACTAAAAAATTCCCTGTCAAATATTATAATAGAGAAAAAAAATTGTGATGCACAAGAAAATAAAAAAATGTAAAATATGTTTTGAATAAAGAATTAAAAACAAAAGTTTATTTTAATATAAGTTTTAAATAATACAAATTATTTATTAGAACAACTAATTAATAACTTGGTTTTCCAAAATCAACTGGTGCTTAGTTTTTCAAAAGCAATTCATAAAATTTTGACCAATTAATAACTTAGATAGAAGGTTACAATCAAATTATGGAATGTCAATTATGGAATGTCAATTGTCAATTGTCAATTGTCAATGATAGGAGAACCCCAAAATGCATGCTCTAGACTGAAGTTTACATAAGCATATTATGGAATGTCAATTGTGAACATCAGATTACGTTTTAGGTGGATCTGGGTTAGGCTTGGGTTGGTTTGGGACAACTGTCATTTCCCGAAAATTATGAAAAACCCAACCGAACTGAACAATTTCATGAGTTGGATCCAGCAGAGTCAGGTCAAAATGAAATCAAAGGTTTCCTGCATTAACAGCCAATTCACTGCTTATAAGAGACTCAGGTTACACCAAATGACCTAACCAGGCTTGCTATGAATCGTATCATTAACCAAGAGTTACCTTCCCAACAATACCTGAGTGCCTCTCATGCTCTGCTATCTCCTTGTTCCTGAAAATGAAAATAAATTATATTTGGATCTAGGTCATCACCACACGAATGAAACTCAAGCTTTGAATTCCCAAAGGTTATTTGGGAGGAAAAAATGTTAATTTTAAAGACTGTAAGATCTGAATCTTAAGGAGTTTGCTCGAGATTCCAAATTGTGACATGAACTGCTCAAGGATGTGATTTACAAGATCTGGTTCATGTGGACATGGGCATGCTTCTGTACCTCGTAACTGGCAGCCAATAATGTTCAGCCCAACTTGCTTGCAACTTAGCTCAGAATGCTTACAGATTTTCTTATACAAAATTTTGATCAACAGCAATCCTGACTTTATGCTTTTTAGTTTAATCCTTCCACTTATATGTTGCAAAAATTGTACATGTTGCTGCTTTTGTTATATTTCTGTAAGGGGACATAAGAAGGCAGCTCTTTAAGGCATGAGCAAGAACTGCATCTAATGAGATGGATCTTCCTAGTTCTCACTAGATTTGTAATTTCGACAGCCACTTCTCTTGTGTCTCTTTCTTCATTTGACTCTTTGACACTAATCTTACATATTGCATTTGAGGTATTAAAGATGAAAACAAAAGTCATAATATCAAGTATCAATTGTAAATAAAATTCTCAGATATTTGCTACAAAATTCTCCTATAAAATAATTTATAACTCAAGTGTTAAAGTCACAACACTTTCAAGTATACAACTGAAAAAAAATTAAGAGCAATATGCAATTGCAGCTTTTAGTGTGAATTTTCCTACTTCAAATGAACATAAAACATGTGTTCAATTTTCAGATCAATCATATCAAACACCAAGGAAACTAGATAGATGCAACGATGGTTACACAACCTTAAGTTTCAGTATGATCTCATTCAAGATTAAAAACGCCTTTGTATTCGTTTTCTCCTCGTTGATCTGCAAAGAATGGAACAAACAGAAGAAAATAAGATTATTAACCAAATGACATATTACAAAATTTTCTGCTGAACAATCCTGACTGATCAGCCAAGAAAGCAAGTGTTACCAACTTCAAAAAGCAAAGACAAAATATTTTTCTTGCAGAATGGTAATCTATGAGGCCCATCACAAGCTCATCAAAGGGAATTCGCTGTTTGTGAATCAGACTCTGGCCTTACCAAACAAAGTAACTAGAAAGCTAGTGTAGCAATGATGAGGAAATTGAGATGGACAAATAGTTGTACAAAAAAAGGTATAATAATAACTGCCTGAGGAGAAGATAAAGAATGAATCAACTAAGAAGGCCTCAACATGTCCAAACAAGATTGTTATTCCACATCATATAATTTAAATATATAATGTAACCTCATCAACAGTAGGAATATAAATATATGCAAAAAAACACACATGGAAACAAATGTGGATGCATCTATAATAAGTTCTCACTTTTATAACGTGAACCAATAGAAAATGGTAACATGATAGCCGAAGTTTTTCAATCATGTTATCATCATGACTTTTCACACCTTGCAGAAGATAAATCAAATCATCAATCCGGACAGAACAAAACCAACTATGCTTCTGCATGAGAACATGAAAGTAAGAGTTAGTGATGAAGGTACATGGTTTTTCGATATGAACAGAAGTTTCCAGTACTTGTTTTTGCTAACCTCAAGAATTTTTCTTAAAGTAGACAATTCCTCTGCTTTGCTTGTATTATCAGTATCCTGAGACAGAAAAAAAGCAAGTAATCAAATTAAACTGTATTGTGAAAATTTTGAGTATGTCATTGCTTCAAAGAAGAGAAGTTATTTAAAGACGATACCAACAAAGAGGTCTTAATAAAATCAAACATTGTATTAACCAGGTTCTCATCAGCAGTTTCAACAAATGAGGAAGCAAGATCAATAACCAAACACCTGCATTGACAAAAGCTCAGATTAATCTTTTTATAAGCTGATTCCCATATCAGCAACAAAAAAAGTGTATCAAATATATTGTCATATTGTCCTAATGGAACCCCACTGCAACATCAATTGTGTATTAAAGAAAACTTCAAGAGAAAATATAAGCAAAAAATGTGTTTGCCTCTTCTAGTAATAAAAAACCATTAGTTTGAAAGCAACGAACTCATAAGTTAAAGATGAAAGGCTAAGCTTTCACTTCAATCTATTCGATAGGAGGAAAAACTACTTTTGATAGCAAGATACAGTAAATTAATTTGCCCAAGAAACAAAAGTTGCAGCATGATGGGGCATGTATTCCCAATATTCTGTAGAGAAAGAGCAAGAATAACAACCTCTACTGTAAAACAGAATAGAAAGCAAGGGCATTACCTAGCAATTCAAATAACATCAGTGTTTATAAAAGCGCTAGGCGCTAAAAGGTGCCAAGGTTCTAAAACACCAGAGGCGCTCCCGAATATTAAATTTTAAAAAATATATATACTGGTATGTTCTAAGCAGTGTTTTTGAAAATGGGTGAAATTCAATGTGATGTTCCTACCTAGGTGAACTTAAGAACTCCTAGCAGAGTCTAAACATGAGCAAGATGGTGCACCTGATGGAGACCTATGCTAAACAGGTTACTAACCAGTGCAAAACAATTCTAAAGAGTTAATCAATATGGTGTTAAACAATTCTAACCAGTACTAAACAGTTTTAAAGAGGGAACTGAGAAGAGAAATAACCAGCGACTGTAGAGGAAGGTGGGGGAAGGAGAGGGTGGCGAATGGAGTTACAGTGGTGGACAAGGGCAGTGGACGAGGTTGCCGACAGTGGCAGACACAACTCCAGTGGTGGACAAGGTTGCCGATGGCGGAGCGAATGAAGGTGGCGAACATAGGGTTTTGCTTTCACCTCTATCTTCTTTCTATTTGGGGGCTGCGGGCGAGGGGTGTTAGGGTAACTACATCGGTTAGTTCGATTGAACCAACTTGTCCAATTGAACCAAAGTTTGAAATCAACCCTATTTGGCTTGAGCACTTGCCCGACACTTGGGCCCAGATGAGCGCTCGAGCAACGCTTCATTGAAATGCCTCGCCGGAGGTTTTGTGAGGCGCTCACTTTTGAAAAAACTGAATAACATTATAACAATTCAAATCGATAAAGGAATGAATGACTCCAACATACCAATAATATGATTGCATCAGCTAGTAAACCTATCCAATGGTGCCTTGATTCAGCATATTATCCATGACATCAGCCTATACGACAAAACTCAGAGTACCTGTAAATGATATAACTCCATGTGACCAGAGTTGGCCACCAATGATATAACACAGTACCAGGCCGAACTTTAGCCGATACAGGTCAGTCTGCGCAGAAGAACAAGAATAGCAGCAGGTGCTTGCCACTAGCCACTAGCTCAATCTAGCTGAAGAAGAAAAAAGGTGCCTCTACCAGCTATGCAGTGTGACTCTACTGCTCTGCCAACTGCACACGGCAGAGACAGAGGGGACTGTAGATGCAGAAGAGAAAAAGCGAAGAAACTTGACTCTCATGCCACATGGATTACAGGCTTTTTAATTCAGAGAATAGAAATATCTCCAATTCTATTAGATAACTTCTACCAGATAAGCATCTTGACCATCCATGGATAATAGAAGAGGAAAAAGGAATCATACGAAAGAGAAAATGAGAAAGACAAACAAAGAGAAGAGAAAAGAAAAGAAAAGGAAATAAAGATATATAGTAAATTAACAAATTGAAATATACTTATAAAATAATGATAAATTTAAGACAAAGGAGTTTTTATATATCCTTTCAAAGTTGGAAATAGTATATTTGCCCTTACATATTTTGATTTAGTATATACATCTCTCGAAATATTAAGATCCTTCACATCAAGGATTGAAATTTATTACCGTACTGGAATTTCAAGAAATACTCGATACGATACAGTACTGTATACCGAGCGGTATATATATATATATATATATATATATATATATAAGAGGTAAACCGCTCGGTATACCTCTCTTCTCCCCACAAGGGGCGACGTTGCCAGAAAAACAAAAATTTCGCTGCGTCGTCACCTCTCTTCGCCCCGCAAAGTCGATACTCTTCTCCCACCATGCAGATAAGAAATTGTCGCAGACGAGGAGAGCGACACCAATCTCAAGTTCTCCTTTTTTATTTTCTTATTTCTTTCTTCCCCTTCTGCCTCTTCTTTCATCTTCTCCCTCTTTCTTCTCCTTCGATCACCGTAGACTCCCTCTTTCTTCTCCCTTGGTCACCGTCAACGATAACGGCCTCAATCGATGCTACCGCTCGGTAGCGAGCAGTCCGTGTACCGGTCTGCTGACGAACCGGTACATACCGCTCGGTACGGGAAGTATCATTCGGTATTGCAAACCTTGCTTCACATACATCCCTCTTGTTTAATATATAAAATTATAAATAAGATTAGGTAGCTTGAGTTCAAAGTAAAATGTTTTGATTGAGGATCAAATTCACCAAACTAAGCAAAGCCAACACTATGCAGCTTCTATGAGCAGGACAAGATAAAACAAGTTGCATCAATGTTGGGTCCAACCAAAGCCAACATTATGCAGCTTCTATATGCAGGACAAGAGTCACAAGATAAAACAGGTTAGGCTGATAATGGGTCACCATTATATAAGATCAGTTTATGAATCTGTACTGATCTTCAAAGGCTCACATACATTGTATTTTGGACACCTTTTGGATTACAAAAGGTGTCCAGCTAGTTGGCTAGTTCATTTGTTATGTCACTTGAGAGCAGTGTTAAGGGGATTTCAAGACTTATGTCAGGTATTGTTAGAGGTCAACTGAAGTATTACATAATGAAAGGAAATTGGCTATTAACAGGAAGCTATTTGCTAATGGAACAGTAGTTTTTGGTTACTGCTGAACCTTTTTTCCTCTCTGCTTATTTGATTGCTCATATTTCCTCTGGTATTCCATACCTATCACTAATATCCTCTTTCTCCAATACTTCCAAAGGAAATCCTGTTCCTCATTTTATTCTTTTTTGTTTTTGTTCAAATAGCAACTACTTCATGCCATAAACATGGACAGCAGTAGCCTTATGCTGGTTTTCAATCTGAACCTTTACTTAAGGGGCTGCATCAGTTGTGCAACAACATACTACTAATCCTAGATACCTGTGACATAATACTTCCCAAAGCAAATTAACCATCCACTAGGTAAACACTATGCATCAATTGTAACCCAAGATAAACAAGAACTAATTTCTCCCATTAAGATGCCACCAAAACCACATATAGACCTCTAATTTGGAGGCAAAAGCTCAAATGCAAAATCTTAAGAACAAACATTTCATTTGAATCAAATAACTAATAACAATGTTTATGCGATTAATGTTTCTCTCACTTAATACTGAATTCCTTCCATTATATAGATGATTCTAATTTATTTGGCATGCCACCAGATAAACAATGAAAGCCTATCAACCATAGGATGGTAATAGGCAAGAAGTACATGGTATGTCTTCAATCACCAAGAGCTTTTAGATCAGATAGTTTCAGTTGCAGACTTAGGAAAATGAACCCAAGTGTTTCCTAGGCCATGCACATACTCAGGCATATGTACCAGTATACCACCATGGAGTGTAATACTGCCCATTAAGGTCAGTGCAAGCAAGCACTTTCCAGTCCAATAGTCAACTGAGATGCAGACCAAGCAAACTGCACAATAGGGTAATTAGTACGAGTTATACCGAGCAGTAGATGCATACTTGTATGGTAAATTGTAAATTTCAGTCTAGTATTGGTTTCGGTAATCTATCAAATTGGTTTGTTCAGAGCATCAGTGTCTGCCGTACCGAAGCATACCGGCCGTACCGGGCGGTATGTACCGGTCCGCCAAGTACTCGGTACGCGGACCGCCCTGTACCGCTATGGTGCTACAGTACTACACTGTAGTACTGCTACAGTATCGGTACACCAGGGTGTACCGCTCGGTACGCCCTGGTGTACCGCCCTGTCACAAACGGTCGTCGCGCACCCGCAACAACTCCGTTCAACGAACCGTTCGTCGCTCACACCTGCATGTACAGCTGCTTGACAGCATGTTTTCTCTTGGTTTTGGGTCATTTTGCTTGTAAATATATAAGTTCGAACAAGCTGCAGCGTTGCAAAGCGACCGCTCACCGAACCGAGCAAAACAACCCCAAAACAGCTCCGTTTTTCCATGCCACGGGAGGTGAGCGGAGAACTGCCTCTGCTCACCAAAATGTCAACCATCTCAAACCCCAGGAACCCCCCGGGTGGCACAGGGCTGGATGGGGCTTCGGTTATATACCGGGCGTTGAGATCTCTTTCGCAAGTTCGCACGTGACCTTTACGGGAACTTGTCTTTGCGCCCGGGACCAGGTGAGCGGCTGTTTGTGGGCTTGCAGCTGTTCGTTCATCCTTGAAAGCCTTGTTTTTCTCCCTCTCCATCTTTTCTCTTGTACACACAGGGTGTTCGTCGAATTGCTTGTAAAGCTTCCCTTTTCGTGAGACTTCGGGACTTGTCCGTTGCTCGTTCTTTCGAACTAACTTCTTTCTCTTTTACAGGTCCTTCGGGACCTGCGAGAGGTTACAAAGTGGGCTGATCCTTGCGGAGCAAGATCGCAAGGGCGAAGCGCGACTTAGGCAACGCAAGCTAAGTTCGCGTCTTTGCCACAAGGGTAACTGGCGACTTAGGCAACGCAAGCTAAGTTCGCGTCTTTGGCCGCAAGGGTGCCTCACGCCTTAGGCAATTCCAGCTAAGGTCGTGACAGCCCGGTACACCGGTACCGTACCGTACCGAGCCCGGGTCGAAACTCCGGTACGGTACGGTATGGCGGACCTTGACCAGCATACTGTTTGGTATACCGATGTATACTACCCAGAACCAATCCATACGGTCCGATACCGCTGCTTGATTGGACCAATATCAGTCGGTACAATGCACATACCAATCAGTTTTTGAATCCATTCCACCAGGGATCAAAATACTGCTCATATCGGTAATATGAATTGGATATTTCCTAATCTAACAACCAATCAGAATGCAGACCGTGCAAAATTGCATACTTATATGGTTGGATGTGAATTGACCCGAGTATGGGTTTTGGTTATCTATCAAATTGGTATGTTACCAGTATACTACGTGGTACACTGATGTATACTAACCAGTACCAATCCATATTTACCACCCCTTCACTGGACCAATAAATAACAGTTGGTACAATGCACATACCAATCAGTTTTTAAATCCATTCCACCATGGATTAAAATACTGCTTGTATCTGCAATACAAGCCAGATATTTCCTAGTCCAACAACCAAGAGGGATGCATACCAAACAAAATTGCACGACCCAATTCAATGTTGAGCATATACCACATGGTAAGACAACTGACATGGAGTTGTACTGGGTAATAACACTACCACCTTGTACTGCATTAGGTCTCTTTTTTTTACTTCCTTTTATATGTCGAGCCATCAAAAGGATGTCAACAGCCCTCCTCTTCTTCTCAGTAGTTGTTGAAAGTTGTCAACAACAGCACCCTTTCTATTCCTCTGTAGCTTCCTGCCTATCACTCTCTCCAGCTTTGCCATAGCCTCCTCTGTCTTTGTCATCACTCCGCCCCCGCCTCATCAGCCACCACAACCACAAACTAGTACATTTCGCCATTTCCTCTTCTGCTCCACCTTTGCTTTTGCCTCCTCTCAAACCCTCTCTCACTATGGTGCAGGGCACCAACTGGTCTCAACCCATACCGAGTGTCTGTGTGCCACCTCCTACCATTATCATGTCAGCCCAAAAGACATGATAATGGACCATGCTTGTGCCTCCTCCTGATATCAATAATGGACTAAGATTCTACTCCATGCATACCACCAAATAACATCCTTGAAAGAGTCTCCTAAAAGTTCAATTTGCATCAGAGATTTTGTATTGAACACTGACCATTCCATTAAGAACTAATCTAAAGATCGTCGAATGGTTTCTCTCTCCTTGATTCTACAAAGAAAAAAACTAGAATTTGCCATATAAGAGTAGTCATAAGCTAGCAATTGTGTGATGCAAACAAACCATTTGTTGAAAACAAAGCTTTATGTTCACTTCTAATGATTTATTTTAGAAATGAATTAGACATAGATCTCTACAGCATGTTCAGTCAAAGGAACAAAGTGCCAGCACGTTTCATTAAGATAGTAGATTATGTGCAACAGGAAAAAAAGCAAAACCACCTTAAAGACAATCCATTTCTCTCAGTAGCAATTTCAGATAAATTCTTTTAGTAATACCTCGGAAAGCATACTCATTGGTTTCTCTCTTATCAAGTGAGATTCTAACGTTATGTTCTTTTCAACACATGGATTATGAAACTAGACTTGTTGAGAACCCACAATAATTACGCCATTTCATGAATTAGGTACAGCATTTAACAATGATAAACTAACTGACAATAAATATTGCTACCTCCAGAGATTCAATCATACAAGTTTATAAGAAATAATTTTTTGTTGTTAAACCTTCAATGCTAACGCAAAAGAAGAAAACATGAAATATATATAATAAAAGAAAATTCTAAAATAACAAGAATTGTGAAATTCATTAGTATATCAAAAAAAATAACAACTGTCACCTTTTCTCTTGGTTTTTATCCATTTTGCTTGTTTCCTCAGTCTCAGTCTCTTTGTCGACATCTATCATGTCACCCTCGTTAAGTTTATTAGATTCAGTTAGAAAATTTAGTAGATCAAACTTTTCCAACAATGATAGAAAAAACCTATGAAGATCTTCACTCTTAACTAGTGAAGCCAAAGATTCAATTGCTTCCTGCAAAAATAAATCAAGGCTAATCTTAATTGGAGCACATAGTTCATGCAACATAAGTAACAAATGAATTTAATTATCATACACTAAAGGCTGAAGATAACAGGCTAAGCAAATTCAGAATGACTTGGGATAGTACAAGTATGAGTAAAAGTAACATATAACAACAATTACTGATAAAAATCCTCTTAATCCAATATCTTATAACTTTGACCAATCATTTAATATCAAATGCTTTTTCTTCCAACAACAAATTCACGTTCACCTTGCATAGACACAATAAAGATACAGGTTCCTCTTATGCAAATGCTTTTTTCCCCTACCACCAGTTCACTTTCCACTATAAATAACCTCCTCCACTTCTATTCCTCACCAGGCAAACGGCTCTGTAGTCAAATATAGAAATACACGAATCGTTCAAAGAGAGAGTAACATAATTCCCCTCCATAAATCATAAGAGTTGTTAAATGATCAAAACCATTAGCTAGAGAAAGAAATTTTCTTAATATATTGACCATCATTGAACTACTGACTTTCATATCACTTCAGTAAAATTTACGATGATATTGGTGATTGAAAATTACTAGTCCATTCTGAGTTTCTTTAGGTGGTTATAGCCTGCAATCTGGACCAGGAGCATTTCAAACGACAAGAATGAACCTGTTAAGAGATTTATGAGGTTACACATGGCAAATAACACCATGGAAAGGAGGCCTCAAGTACAAAATTTATGTTAAAAAAGAAAATGCTAATTACTCCACCAGATGAAGATACAAACTTTTTGGTGCCATGATCAGCAATCTGGAAAAGATCCATACAACTGGTCCAAATAGATGGGATCCCACATCTGGTCCAAAGAAAATGCTACTTAAAGCATCAGTCGATCTTTTAGGGTAAAAATTGAATGTCAGGATAGCTGTGAAGTTGAAACAACAAGCAAAGGAGTTCTTAAGATGGGCATCTGAGTTACCTATTTATGATAAATAAGAGTGAGGAATTATGCACAACATTATCATATGCACAAGAATGCCATGAGATACATGATTTTGGTCCATCTCAGTACGAGAATAGCAGTGGCAATAATGGTGGCAATGGCAATAGTGATGCTGATGGAAGCAATACTGGATGTTTATTAGGAATTCATGTGAAGCAGCTGATGGTGCACCCAAACTAGGTAGAAATGCCAATATGAGATGACAGCAAGGATTGAAATTTCATACCGTACCGAAGTTTCGAGATTCGCTCGGTACGGCATGGTACTGTATACCGAGCGGTACATTTCGGTATACCGCTCGGTATATATATATATATAT